CATCCATCCATCCATCCATCCATCCATCCATCCATCCATCCGTCCATGATGACCGGCTGAGCGGATTCGGATGTTATCAGTCTATTAGATGGCCATGATTAGTTGTTATCATCCCTATATGTAGCGGTCAAACTGTCCCACCTACCCCCTAGTAGGTTTAAAGGTACGTTATTATTGTTAGTAGAGCTGATAATAGGCAGAGTCGCACAGGAGTAAACCAGGAAGTGTATTTGTTTGTTTTCAGCTTATGTAACCCTTTTCTTAAACCTAACCTTACACCTGACCCAGAGGACCAACCCTAAACTTAACCCCCTTACCCTTGTGCCTAAACCTAACCAAGACCCTAAACCTAACCACCAGACCCTTTACTCTAAACATAACTATGTGAAGCTATTATGAAAAACAGAGCATATTATCATTGCTAACAACAGTAACAATGTACCTTTAAACCCACTAGGAGGTACAGCAGGGGTGGTCTGACTGCTACATATAGAGATGATAACAACTAATAACAGCCATTTAATGGCTGATGACATCCGAAGAGGGTGCCTGCTTCACTGAGAAGCGACAGTTCTACCAATAGTGAGCCTTATAATCCAGTGTTTTTTAAAATTCAGTGTGCCTTTTGTATTAATTCTAGTTGTGCTTACGGACCTTAAATCAATTGTATGTGGTTATTGTGAATGAGTTGAATAAAGTTTGACTTATCTGACTGTTTTGTTTTGTATTATGCACCTTATAATCTGGTGCGCCTTATGTAAGAAAACAGACCTGTTCATTGATACTGCGCCTTGTAATCTGGTGCAATTTATAGTCCGGAAAATATGGTATGTTATGTTTGTTTATTTTTGTCAAATGCAGATTAACACAAGGAAAACAATGCAACTGCATGTTCAGAAAGAGCATGACTTATTGCTTTCACCTGCATCCTGAGTTGTTCTGTCCTGGTTTAGGTCAGATTGTTGTTCCTTATGGCAGATTGTGGCAGTGATTAGATCCACAAAGGTATTTCCTGTGGAGAAATGACAGCATTCAGTTTTTACCCATATTTATCTCTGACTGTGTCAGTGTTTTGTTCAATAGGCCTTTAACACATGTATCCTGGACATTTGTGTTTGTTGCCTCCTGCTGTTCTCGACTGGTGATTAGTTGTAAATATGTCACTCTCTGCTGAAATTATTAAAAGTTTGCCCTTTTTTTTTTTGCCGTTGTTTGGTTCCTGCTTTGAAATCTGAGCCTTTTCAATAAAGTGAGAAATTTATGTTAGCGTGTTAAATAGATGAGTAGACAGCTTCTGTCAAAGTGTATGACCATGGGTGCATGTCCTCAGTCTTCAAGACTTGGCACAAATAAATAAATAAATAAATGAATAAAGTTAAAAAATGAAAAAGTACTGAACTTCTCTTCTGTGGCTGAAAACATTGTGCTTCCCATCTTGGATGCTTTGTCAAAAATAAATAA